TTAATTCTCATTTTCAAATGTTGGCAAGTATGGTAATATCACAAAAATGTGGAAATTGCAATGGAATTGAACATTTAGAAGATGAGAAACTGCTAACTCAGGGCTCCATACATTAACATAACAATTCACTTTAGACCTCCAAAACTAAGGCAAAAGGTTGAAAAGCTTACAGGGACCCCCAATATTTTGCTCAGGATTCCCAGGAAGAAAAGAGTTGATCTGAAGCCATATATTCTCACAGCAATCTGGATTTAAGTATACCAGCGAGGATATAGCAAAGCTTGTAACAATCGCAACTGTTAACTTCCAAATGATGCGGGATCTCTCCACTTTTGGTGATGCTCTGAAACCCCATTAGTCAGTCCCTCAGTCCATGAGTCCTCGTTTGAATAGTGACAGATCAATTACACACAATGGAGGACAATTACAGCCTACACAATGACCCCCCTTGTAGGTCAATTGATTGGTGTGAATCCTTGGACAATAGGAGCGCTAATCGAGTGACAACCCATTGTCCAGTCTGTCTGTGTCTGGGCTATTGACCAGTGACCATTGAAACAGCATTCCACCAAGTCTGGCCTAAGCTTGGGTCTGAGTGGGTGAGGTCATACAAGTGAGTGTCCTGATCAGAGGATTTATTCTGGACAGACCAATCTCTTCATAGCTACCTACCTGGCTAGGCTGCCACTGTCAGTTGCTGGCAATTGGCGACCACATCTGCACATCTCCTTGTTGACTTTCTCCAATTGTTTCTATTCATAGCACACTATGTATATTTGTGCTGAGTTTTTTGGTCTTGCCAGAAGTACTAGTCTTTCCATAGGTAAAGAATTTTTTTCTGACTTAGTAGACCTGAATAGTTTTTTTTTAATCCACAAGAATCTGCAAGAATGACCAGTCACTCCAGGGCTGGAAATACTGTTTGTCTGACTTTGTAAAACTGAACTACTGTATGATTATGATAATATATCACTTCAATCAAAATGAATAATAGTTTAAAACAAGAAAGAAAAATTCAATTAATTTTAATGCTGAGAAAGGAATTATAGAGAGGATTTTTAAAAGAAGTTTTCAAGCATAAAGAATGGTTAGACATGAAGGGGAGGCACTCAAAGAACTGCTGCTGTAAGAAACCAACAAGTTTGATCTGGTACTGGTTCTTTCTTGGTGGGAGTTTTATTAAATTAAAAACATAGAAAAACAAACAAATGCATTGCTCTCTGCTCCTATTATATTTGCTGCTGAAAAAAGAAAACTTTCCAAGTAAAAGGAAAGCCAGGAGACATTCAAAAGGTTTTTAACTACTGAATGGATCATAAACAAAGCATCTGAGAAAAGCGATTGAGTTTGAATTTGTTCTCTATTACAGCAACATTCCATGCACTGCCTTTTCCTTTGTTTAATTTTTAGAGTTATCAAGTAATCTGGTCCGCAGGGACTTTTTTTATTTTGAGCATAGCCAATTCTTTCATGGTATGGATGATGACTGTGTTTGGTTTGAAATGACATGGACATGGAAAATTGTTGTATCTACATGTAGATAATATTGCAAAATGACAGAAACAGCCCCCTGTGTGTGATCAAGAGCAGTTCCACAGGGGTCATTGTAGGATAAAAGTTCTGCTGCATAGGCACACTGACAATGATAAAGGCAAAGAAGTACAAGAAAGCATTAAGCTAAGAGCATCATCGACCAGGGGAACGTTTGTCATAACGTCTCCATGATGGTCCATTCCCATCATCATTAACAGGAACATTGATGATGTTTGAGAGCTGTAGAGAAGCAATTATCACTTTGTGAAAGGCTTTAAAGTCTGGTCATTTAGGTAAGTTGATGCCAATTTTGAGAGGTCATTGGAGTATCATTATGCATTGAAGCTCTGCCGTTCAGCATTTCTGTAACCTAGATAAATTGCTTCATGTTATCATTGTAGGAATAGTAGGATATCTATAGTATCCCCCCCCCCTTTTCACCATCTTTTTGAAAAATTGATCCATCTTTGTACATTGGTAAGAAATTGTTATCCCTTGTTTTTGTGGAGTTTATTGGAGACTTTTCGGCATCAAATTTCCAGTTTGCTGAAATGCATTCATTTTATTTCATTTTACTTCCTTTTACATCGTCATATTTTGTTATGGACTTTGTGCATGCTTCCCAGAGCAGAAGTGATGAAATCCCTTGTTATTCGTTATATCTATGGATATTGATAATCACCAGACTATACCTATGCTAGACACTTTGGTCCACATTCTATTCATTCAGTTAGATCAGACCCTTGATCCAACATCAAGTTTATCTAAGGAAAACTTAGATCCCAAATTAACTTCCTTTGTTAAACCGATTTATAAAAATCAAAAGTTTAAGCCAAATGTTGGCTTTCAATTTAAGTAGAAAACAAGTCTTTGATCTGTTTTGTTTTCCATTCTGGTTACATACATTGTTACTTTTTCAATGATTTGCACAATTTTCAGTCACTATCTAGTTCTGCCCTCCCCCCCTTCATACGCCACTCCCCCTTGATACGCCACTCTCCCTCCCTGTTCAGACTCCCCATTATTAGGAGGCGTAGCCATAGGAGTAACACTCCCTACAGTATGGCCCTGTTTCCCTCCCTAGGGGGATCCCCACTCCCCTAAGGTATTGATGACATAATGCTTGGCTGGTTCTCAATCACTACATCTTTAGACCTTACCCTGGCATGGTGAGGGCAGGTGGCGATAAACTCAGATTAGGTGACGGTGAAAGAGCTCCGAGTAGCAAGGGACATGATCCAACAACCAAATTGAATTGCTTGCATATCTGCGCTTTATTCGCCAGCGGTGTATGCATGTGTGACCGTCTGTATCCCGTAATGTGTCAATGCATTCATCTTGTCAAAACATGTAACAAAACATTGGAATTTTTTCTCTCTTATTTGATGGATGTGTGACAATTTGCACCACCTATTGTGGAGAAAAATTGTTTTTAGCACATTGATTCAGGTGTGCCCTAGAAAGGGTTTGATCATGAATGGGTTACAATGATGGAAGAGGGAAGGTATGCGAGAATTTTAAGAAACTTTGTATCTTTGTCATGACTTTGAGAATGTCATGGCATTGTGGTGAGATCAAGAGCGAAAGAGAGAGAGAGAGAGAGAAGGAAAAAAAAAACGTGAATAACTGTAACAAGTCTCAGCCATCCTTCACATTATCTGCCTACTCAAATTCAGCAGCGCTTCATCCCCGAACCTGAGCACTAGATATTATTTTACTCCTCTTATTGGTAATGTCTCTACTTGAGGGGGGCTCCTCTATTTGTCCTCGATATCCAATTTCCCTGCAGCTAGATCTTTAAGCAGGGTGTGAGGGCTCTTCACCGAACTCCATGTCGCGGTGAGTACGTTCTACATTGCGCCAGTGCCTATGACAGACTTATCGTGACTTGCGCCTCTCACCGCACTTTCGTCCCCTCTCTTGCATCTCACTTTCTTGCTTGCCTCTTGTTTGAAACCCTCTTCTGTCTTTCACAGCACAAGTGTTATTCACGGTGCTCTTGGAGTGTTACTGTGAAAGCCGCGGCTACGATGCGTTCTGTTTTCTCTCCCAGCGCACAAACCGTGACCAACTCTTACTCTTGCGGTTCGGTTAGAGAGGGGACGAATGAATAAAGAATGGAACTAAGGTAGAGTAAAGGATGACATGGGGCTGAAAAAGGTGAAGAAAGAAGTTTTAATGGAATCTTGAGTTTAGAGAATTCAAAGGAAGGAAACACATGTTTCAAGGTCAAGGCCCCATTTCACAAAACTTGTCATCAGTGACAAATGATAGTTTTTGTTATAAGCTAGTGAAATCCTTGCTTCTGATTGATTATCAGTTATCGAACTCTGACTCTGTTGAAAAACAGGGACGGGGTCACAAAGGAGATGCTGTATCTCCCGTAAACATATCCCTTGACATGCACAGCACCAAGCAAGACAGGAGCAGCAGCATCAAGACAATAATACATTCAGGACTTGCTTTCACAGACGGATGAAAATAAGACAAATGGATGGATTCGAATGGAATTATGGGATTCCTTCTCCTCAAATCCGCCAAATCCGCTTTGCATAATACATTCTTCCTTGGAAAGCCAGTTAACATGGGTATCCCTGCGTGGCATTAAACAGTTATTGCTGCGCATGAAGATTTTCAGAAGCTCAGAAAGGATTCTGCTCAAGATGGATTAGATTTCTTCTCTCTGTATTGTGTCTTTGTTTCCTTTCTTTCCCCTATGCTCAATTTTTCTGCATTCAAATAGGGGATTTAGGGCTGGAAATCCCACTGGTTCTTGTAGTCCTTTCTCCTTTTCTATCTCTCGCTATCATTATATCTTCTTTATTTCTGCTCTTCCTCCTTCTATTTTTCTGTTCAGTCTTTATAATTTTGCTACCTTTTCCTTGTCCTCTCTCACATTGGGTTGACCCCCCCCCCCTTTCTCTCTCTCTCGCTCTCTCTCTCTCTCTCCCCCCTCTCTCTCTCTCTTTCCTCCTCTTGCTTCCCATTTACTCAGTCATTCCCCTTTCCATCTCTTTCCCTTTCCTTTCTCTTTATTTCTCTTTCTGTCTTAGCCTCTTTTCTCATCCTCTCTAAATCTTGGCTTGCATGCAATGTAACATCCATCACTCATCTGAACCTATTACCATAGCCATAGGAAATAGGAGATTTGGAGATGAATTATTATTTTTCATTAGAACAGTAATCCTATTTCTGAATAGATGTGATACAGCGTTCCCTTTTATTAATATTATTTCAATTTTTCATTTTCCAGCATGGGCATACAGGTTTACAGATAAATCATATAAAGATGATACTGTATGATAGACACGATATCTATGACACTTCTAAAGCTTCTTTTCTGGTTAGAATATTTACTGGTATACATGTATTTGTACTTTATGTATATCATTCAATAATTCACACCATTTCATTTTGGGCAAAAATATAAGTGGTAAGACCCACTTCTGCTGTAAAGAGGGTTAGTTTTGTGTTCAGGCATTTGGCAATTGATTGATGTGTATGTGACTGGTGTTAAGTGATATGTGGTATTAAGAGGAAGAGGTGTAGAATACAGGACTGGTGTTTTGTTTTTGTGTTTGGTGTTAAGGTGTAGAATGTAGGATTAATGTTTGGGTGTTGGGTGTTATGGTGGTATATGGCATGAGTTGAATATAGTGGTCACTGTTGATAAGTGAAGGTGTAGAATGTAGGATTTTTTTTTGGTGCTGAGTTTTACGATGGTTAGACTTGATAGTGGTGTATGGTAGTCATTTTTAATTGTAGAAGAAGTAGATGCAGAACTAGCATTTTTTTGTGTTGATTGATTTTTTTTTTATTGGTGTATGGTGTTGAATAAAAGCTGTAGTAGCATACAGGATTGATGTATTGATGTAGAATGGTTTGTGAAATGATTGGTCTGGTTTGCTTGTAGTGTGTCATATGTATGAAGAATACAGTGTAATCAAGTTTTTTCTATTTGTGCATTGTGCATATTTGTGTATTATAAAATGTTTGGATCAGAGTATGCGTAATTGTAATAGATGCATGCTCTGATTGCAAACATTTTAGAGTGCACTAATATAGATTATAAAGACACTCTCAGCCAATTTCTTCTTATGATTCAGCAGCATAAATGAAATCTATTTTAAACAAATTAAAGTCATATCTATTTCTTTATTTTTTTAATGTAACTTTCTTCAAACTGATTCCTTTTCATTCAATTCATAATATAAAATCAACTTGGTTTGATGGACAATTTATGCTCGCCCTTTTCATGTAAAACATGCTAAATTATTTATTACATAATTGTGAAATTGTGTATTTTAATGAGTAACTTTTGTTGTTTCTTTCCAGACTCGAGACCCTCATCGAGCCAATCACTGCAGAGCAAGTGGAGATGAGAACGCTTTACCCCAGAACGCAAGATCCAACTCAGATCGTTTGAGTGACGTAAGGGATTTTTCCTTTCTAACTCCCAGATAATTTTCATTAATTTATTAATAACAGAATAGCAATACGGTAATGGCAGAAACACCCACACACCCACTGTGATTAGTCACTGTGTGTATTCTTACACTGCTTTAAAAACCCAGGATAACCCAAAACATGCTATTTTAATTCGTCTAATAATACTTTAAACAGCAGGGGCGAGATCGCCTCCAACTTAAACACAGCAACTCAAGATTGTTACGTCCCCTTGATTAGTGAGTCTTCCTTGCCTCAGTCCCACCCCACGTAATGGACGACGTGTGCCTTAATGGAGTTATGCTTAGGGGTGTTATTCCTGTATCCCCTGTTCTAAGTAGACATTAATGGTGATTAGGGCTCTAATAAATGGACCCGATAGCCTTTCCTGTGGGGAGGCAAACTACCCAGCTACACTTGGAAGAGGGAGGATAGGATAGGAATGAGGCCGACAAGAATAAATCATTGCCATCATATCTAGGCAACAAATGATTTTTAAGTAACGCAAGTTGTTTGTAGATCCTGCAAGAACGTTATTATCTCTCTGATTCTAAAAAAATGCTGAAATAATTCATAAGGAAGGTGCGGGGAGGGGGGGGGGGGGGGGGATTTTGCCTGCCTAATGTATATGTAGCCTTAGGTTGTGTGATAATGATTGATTAGGGAAGGGGAGACTGAAATGAAAAGCAGCATGCTTGCATGTGAGACTTGTAGATCTTCGTACTTGTTTCTACATTAGAACCGGTAGATTAAATCTTGATTTGCTGCTAGGCTTCATGACTGATGCTATCTATGAAGGGTTTTTTTATTTTTATCTCTGAAAGGAATACATCAATTTTCTTTGGTCTGTCTTGGGCATATATATGTCTTACTGAATTATGACCGAGTGTATTTTGGTATGGAATGAAGGAAACTTGTTGCATCTTAGCCGACGCTTTCAGAATTTTTGCAGCCACAATACATCATGTAGAGATTTGTGGTTATCACATTGTTGGTCAGTCGAAGGGAGAAACAAATCGCTCTCTATTCACTGTGTGACTGTCTTCCCCCCCCCCCCCTTTTTGAAACCTTTGTCCATCTGTTCTCCGTCTCTTATGGACGGACTCTCCCTCAATCTGTCTCTCCAATACTTCCCTCCCCCCCTCTCTCTCTCTCTTTCTCTTTCTTTCTCTCTCTCTTTCTCTTTCTCTTTCTCTCTCTCTCTCTCTCTCTCTCTCTCTCTCTCTTTCTTTGTGCCCCGTCACCACATCCCCTTCTCTCTCTTTCTCTCATTTCTTTGATGGTTGTAGAACATGAAAAATAACATGTTCACCTGAAATCCTTCTTTAATTCGAGCTGTGGTATTTAGTCAAAATATAGACACGAGATCTAATCTGTACAGGGAAAAGCATTCATGTTGGTATTGCAAATAATAAATAGGTCACAGGAGAGGGTATAAAACAAGAGTGAGTGGTACTAGGTGTCAGACTTGTAGGGCAGATAAATAGAGGAAATAAATTTGGTTTAGAATGTATGCATTTCGATGTTTGTAAAGGCTGGAGAGCAGCTCAACTCTTTACCGTTTTCTCTCCTTTTCTTGTTACACTACAGGGGAGCTCTCACTCACAATCTGGGAGCGGCTATATGGTAAGTATCATCAATTTTCGGTATCTTTTAATGAGAGTCAGAAGGGGCTTTCATAAGTGACACTTTGATTAGATTTAAAGGTCCTTATGGCTCTCACCACAATAGTTTAGGGGAACCCACTTTATCCGTGGAATGTTTTTTTCTGCTGTTTAATGTTTCTCTTCACTGTTCCAAAGCACTATTTTGAAGGAGATGAATTGATGGTATATTTAGTACGGTGTGGAGTTGAAATCTACTCTTGACATGAAAGAGAAAGTTTGAAGCTTTTCTTTGATGAGGCAGGATCAAGTAGCCAAATGGCATTGGATGTATTATTTTCTGACAACCGCCATTTTCTAGGCCATAGATTTAATAATCTTGCCTGTTAGAACTGAAGTACAAGGTACACAAATAAGGGAAAATTTATCAAAGCGTCTTCTAGTTATGAAAATCGTGTATTGCTTTGAGTACCAATATTTCCTAAGCGTCTTTCTTGCCGTGCCTGCTTTGCCATTTTTCAGGTTTCTGGTACTGTAATGAAGATTGGCATGCAGGGCGTCATTATGGTAAGATGTCAACCTTGATGACCAGCGCTGAAAAGCTGTTTGTTCTTAGCACACACACAAACGGAAATGACAAACGTTGCCATAGAATTTCCTCAATTTAGGAATGAAAGGAATGGGGGAGAAGACAGACACACTTGATAAACATTTGCCATCTCTTTTTTTTTGGTGGCTTTTTTTGGCTTTTGTCGAGACTGAATGTTGCAGGCACGTTGGCTGCAAACATCTCAAACATGGCTCACCTCCCTGCCCGAATTCGTGCTGCTGCTCCCGTAAATTCAGTCATCCCAAATTAACGTGGAATAATTTTTGTGGTGGTACGTGCCAGTGACTCCTTGGGTAGGCATGCAGAGAGCTCCACACGTGAGCACACAATCAGACGCGCTCAAATTTGATTTCTTTGTGTTCGTGCTTCGCCAAGCATGAAATGGCCACATTAAATTGTCGGCAGCTCGTTCCGAGCGAGACCAGGCATGTTTTCCTTGCCTAATGCAAACAGCAAAAACAAAACAGATGGATTCCCCTCTCTTGTTTCTCCTCTTTTTCTCATCTTTTCCTACCATCTTCCTACAAGCATAGCATTGGATGTTGGATAAAGGAGAAGGGAAGAGGAGAGATGGACGTGCGTTTAACCCCATGAGCTGATGTCAATTGCAGAGTTTTTATTGGATGTACAAGCTCTTAAGCACTTGTGATTGTCAGAGTCGGTTTTCCTCCCCGCTAATGCCCGCATTAGACGTGCGCTTGAAGTGTTGGTTCGCGTTGTTGGCACGCCGAGAGCAGGATGCGCGATCACGTCTCACTCCATCAAGCAGGTTAATTCAACGATGGCGGGAGCCGGGGCTGGCTCTGAAAGCTGCTGCCGCCACCACCGCCTTCCACCTCATCCACTCCACCCCTCCCTCCCTCTTCTCTTCCATTGAATATCTTACATTTGACACTTCCTATCATGCTCAAAGCATACCAGGCCTTCAATGCTCCGGACCAGACCAGGCATGCTCTGTGAATCTGGATGTTGCACGCCCAGTAGTCGATGGAGTGAAACGAAGGAGGGGGTGGACGTGCTGGGGGATGATTTGAGATGACATCAACACAATGATTGTTGGTGTGCATAGAACCATGCTCACGTACTCCTGCAATTCAGGTTCATAGTTCACTTCAAAGCTTTCATCTATTGATTGCTTCAAAACGAGTGGAGGTTCCATTCCTTGTTATTTTATCCTCCTGCTTCCATCCTTCCATTAATTGATTCCACTCCCCTCTATTTTCTCACTTTTCTTTAAGTTTCTTAATTCTTTTTTTGGCTTATTTCTTCCGTTTTTACTATCTTGGTCTGTTTTCCATTTTCATCACACACACACTTTCTCTCTCTCTCTCTCTCTCTCTCTCTCTCTCTCTCTCTCTCTCTCTCTCTCTTTTCTCTCTCTCTTTTCTCTCTTTCTCTCTCTTTCTCTCTCTTTCTCTCTCTTTCTCTCTTTCTCTCTCGCTCTTTCCTCGCCCAGTCTTTCTCTGTCTATCTCCTAATATGAAGTCCTCTTTGTTTTCTTCCTATTCTGTCTTCAATTATCTTGCTCTTGACTCCTTTGCTTCTTTTCTCAATCCTCTTATATGTGTATAGGCCCCTAACTAGGAAATATATGTGGTTTATACAGTCAGCAGATAACAAAAAGAAAGAAATAGTAAAATAGGTAAAAAGTTCAAATCATGAACAGTTTAGAAATATTGCAATACAGGCGTGGCATAGGAGTAGAATCCTTTGACACAATTATCCATACCGCGCTTGAGCATTGCCATGTGCCCTTGGCAACAGATGTAAATTGCATTCATGGAAATTTCTGCTATGTAATTTAATCAAGCTCTCTTTACCTGGGCATTAATTTGTAGAATAACAGTTTTGGCATGGTCTGTCCAAGTCTTAGTGTGTTTTTTTTATTATGGGAAAACAATTCCAGTAATTTAAATGGAGAGAATATAATAATACACGTTTTGTAGTATGAGGTTCCTTTTCTGTTTATAAACCTTCATTTCATAGAAAATTAACCAGGTATTTGAATTCATGAAATGCATGACACGTTTCTAGTTCCATGACCAATTCATAAACATATACACGCTATTGAATATCCAAGGACTAAGCAAACTCTTTCCAGGTCAAAAAGGTTCTTTCAATGTCAATGCAAGGATTTACCATGGTGTATATGACGCTTGAAATGCAAGCGCATGATTTTCAAACACGTCAGGAATGCTGCATTTCCCCCTATTTTACATTCAAGGGCTTATCCCTCCCGCTTCTCTATTGGCAGCCATTTTTTATATTCCTTTGAGTTTAATGCACAAGAGCGTTCCAGGAAATTGCTTTGCAAGCAAGCGAGTTCTAGTGGTGGGGTAGGGTTACATGAAGAATGCTTTACTCTCTCTTTCTCTCTCTCCCTCTCCATCTCCTATTTTATCTCTCTCTCTCTCTCTCTGTGCCTCTCCCTCTCTCCCTTATTTTATTTTATCTCTTTTTTGTTCTCTCTCTTTTATCTTTCTCTCTCTTACTCTCTATCTTTTTATGTTCTCTCTCTCTCCCTATCCTCCCCCTCTCTCATTGTCTTTCTCTCTCTTCACTCTCTTTCCCCCTCTCTCTTCCCCTCTCCTTCTACCTTTCTTTCTAGCTGTATGTCACATGATTTATCTAAAGTAACTTAGGACTACCATGACATAAAACCCATTCCCGGTACACTTAAAACGTGTTATCTCTCTCTTTTTGTGGGAAAATGGTAGAACTAAAAGGTTTGTGTAAATAAGATATGACGGTAACTATCCTATATATTATGCAATAGAGAAAACATCTTTGGCTCAGTTTTAAAAGTCTATCAGATTTTCCAGAATTTGTTCTTACAATTCAAAACAGAATTCCTCTAGAGTTTTACATTCATATTGGAAATGGATCTGAATCTATCCCTCACAAGTAAGATTCATCTAAGTAAGATGTTGAAGTACTTTAAAAAAAAAATTGAATTTGCCCCCAATAGCTTAATTCTAGATAACCTCTAATACACAGTGTATTTGTCAATGATCTAGGAGAAAGTCCTCAATGTCATTTTGGGGCCTTAAATTCTAATTTTTTATTTTCACATAGTCTGATCAAGAAGACTAATTCCTTTGTAGAGGTGTCTCTGTATTTAACATAGCTCATACTATTTTTACATTTTATGGACAATAGTGCTATTTGTTGGGTTTTTTCACTCTTAATAAAAACAACATAGATAAAATTTAAAAACATCAGAGCATCATCAATAGAAAACAATACAATTAGACCAAAACAAATTATGAGAACAAGAGTCAAGAAAGAAGAGTAAATAGCCTTATAGTACATTGGCCCAAAATTAACAATACATACATGATTATAACAATACATGTATTATACTATACTAGACCATTCCTTTTGTGTTGTTTTGTCAGTGACTGTTTTTAAAGTAAATGACTTTATTGGTCTGAATATGACATGGATAGCCTTTGCTGGAAAGTAAAACAAAACCAATTAAGAAGATGATTTGATCTTCAATATATATGATATAATCTGTTGTTGATTAGTTTATGCTCTTCTAACTGATGAAATCATTTGTGAACAATGAAATCAATACAATCAATAAAATCAATAATATATACTCTTTTAGGAAGTGCACAGGTAAGGCCGATTAAAAATACACAGAATATCAATCAGAAAAAAATCTAAAAGGTGAAACAGTGCATCTTTGCACAGAACTCTGCTCAATACAGCTGCCTGGAGAAATGCCTCACAGGTTTTCATCTGTCAGTTCGCTGATATTAATTTCATGTGCTAGGTTTTGTAATGGCTGGCATTTCCATGTTTTTGTGATTATGGAAACGTTAGCAATTACCCATGACACCCTTTCCGGGGAATATCCAGGTATCTCGGTCACCCTAACGATGTGGGGGAACATACACTGTTAGACAGGAGGGGAGAAGGAATATTGAGGTGAATAGGAAAAAGAAGGCAGGAGATATTTACTTTAATTTCCGGCATGTTATTACCATATATATGTTTTTTAATAAAAAATATTTAATTTAAAAATAAATAAATTATAAAGCGCCTTTTTAATAGATACAAAGTGCATTACCATTTGACTCTATGAGGGAGAAAGAAAAGAAGAGAGGGTGGGAAAATAAGGGAGGGAAGAGAGAGAGAGAGAGAGAGAGAGAGAGAGAAAGGGGGGGGGGGGTGCTGTAGGTGAACGAGGGAAATTCAAAGAGAGAAGAAAAAATTTGAATAATAATTAGGATTAAAGGTAAAGACCAGTTATGGTCATGCGATTGCATTGTGAAAGAAACGTTGTGGAATCGATCAGAAAAGGTTGATCATCTAGCATCTGCAAGGTTCTGGAATCATCAAAATGATAAGAAATTTGGCCCATTCTTCGTAAAGTTACAAGCACTATACACAGAAAGATGTAT